TTAGCCACACAGACTCCATTAATCAATGATAATTTTCGAGACACCCATTGCCACTCTTTATTGGTCCCTATTAGTGTGTCGATTAGCCACACACGCTCTAATAACGACTTATAAAGTGCAATGTGCAATTTCATGGGTTAGCATACAAATTCACATTTTTTCCTAAAGTAACTAAGACTAGGATTTAAAAATAAAATGTTTAGTTACTTTTAATCGCATTATACTTATTAATGAGAATTAATTGTCCTATCAAACTTGTTCGGCTAACGACCCTCCACCATACAAGAGAGCGGTGAGTAAGAATGATACCCAATGACGGTCATTTTATAGGCCGCGTCCTTAAACTCCCCTTATAGTATGGCTTCGTGAATGTGGCGTACTAGCGGTTTGACTGACTTATTCTTATACATATAGTAATAATTAAACATTTAATTCTATATATATTATAAGGTGTATTTTTAAAACTTTTTCAAAAATGCTAGTTTATATTTTAAATTTCGAAAATTAAACAATTAATTTAAATTTAAAATTAAACCAAATAATATTTTATATTAATTATTAAATTCAATTAATATCCAAATTAATTATTTATACACTTAAAAAATCAATCACATTAATCAATAAATAATTCATCAAGTCAAATACTTATCTCCTAAATTCTAGGATTTTATTTTATCATCAAAGATACAGCAAAATCAGATTTGGAAGATAAATATAGCAGGTAATCATCACATAAAAGCAGATTAGGCAGATAAGCTCAAAAAATTCGGATATGACTGAGCTCATGTCGTGAGCAACGATTTTTCGAAAATTTTAGTTTCTTTTGTTTGATCAATTCACCAATGTGCAAATACATGAAAGTTAGCCATAAGGCTCTGATACCATTAATGGAAAACATAGCTAGGTTACAAAATTTCTATGCACTAAGCTGGAAACATTTAAACAATTTAAATTATTAGGGCACATGCAACCTATCGAGGATCTATATCTTTCACATATAGGCAACATACTATGAACTATCATCCTACAAAACTTTTCTTATGAAAATCGAATTCAACAGAATAAGAAACTTACTTTGAAGATTGTTATTGCAAACAACCTGGAATCCTTCTTCAAATCTTTTGGCAGCTAGCACCACAAGCGTCGTGCCTCTGATGGTTCACACCCAAGACTAGCAACTAAGGATTATGGAGAGGGAGGATGTGATTTTCGACCAGATCTCTTCAAGGGTTAGAAGTGTCGAAATTAAGAGGGTTATGACCCTTAATATAGCTGAGGCAACTTAGTGCCAAAGCTAGGGTTTAAGGAGGAAACCCTAAATCCCTTTGCTTGGTGACTAAGCAGTCCATTCCCCTCTTTCAAGAGGCTTGGACGATTTACCAAATTCAAATTCTTATATAAAACCTAGAACTAAGCAACTTTGGGTTATATAAAACTCAAGTCAAAAGGGCCAAAATGAAACAAAATCTTATATAGAACCTAAAACTAAGCAAGAATCTGAATAAAGTAATGAACTTTAGATCTTACAATGATTGAGAAGTGTCAAGAAGTTAGAATCTTGAGTTGGAAAAGACTCCTCTAAGCACTACAAGAAAACTTCATCTTCAAGGATATCACTATAAACCAAACTCTCTCAAAGGTAGCATAAGGATCTAGGGTTTCGTTTACAGAGGGTAGAGGCTGAGAATGCGGTGAAACCCTAACATTAGCACCCTTATATAAGGCTAAAGGCCCGATGAAACATCCCAAAAATATAGTCCAAAAATTTCATTTAATTTCGTTAGTAAAAAATATAAATAGCATTCATTATATAAAAATCATAAACCATGTTTCTCAAAAATAACATAATATATGTCAATGTATTAAAATCATATGTCAAACATCAGAGTAAATCCTCTCAGGCTAAAAACTGTGGTGTGTGCCATGCAGTCATCCCGAGCTCTTCCCCTTACTAGCGGAAGTACCTGAAACCAAAACTAAAAACTGTAAGCACGAAGCTTAGTGAGTCTCCCCAACTACCACATACCATACACATATCACATAAACATATATTGGGCCCCGCCCCCTGCTACATCGGGTCATCGCCCGACATCGACTTTCCCGACATCGAGCCCCGCCCGGCATCGAACCATATTCGGCATCGGGCCCCGCCCGACATCGAGCACATCTCGGAATACATGTGAGCATAATCAAATAATACACATAAACCTAAACATATAACATTAACATGTAAACATTCCTCGGGCCCCGACCGACATCGAACCGTAATCCGGAAGCATACTAACATTCCTCGGGAACCGCCCCGGCATCGGATCGAAATCCAGAAACATACAATTACAAACACATGCAAGAATCACAAAGACATCAAGCATACAAGCATTCCTCAGGACCGCCCCGACATCGGATCGAAATCCGGAAAAACATATAAACTTACATCGGGCCCTGGCCGACATCGGACCGTAGTCCGGAACTACTATCTAAACGGGCCGACCTTGGTGCCTTAGACCCGTTCCTACTGGAGGAAAACTCACCTCTCAAACTGTCTGCTGAAATCTCGTGTGGGGAATCTCTAATGGCTGCTCCAACGACTCCCCGACTATTATTATCACAATAATCACTTAGTGAAAAACTGATAATCCTTCAAAGGGTAGAATGACCATTTCTTATGTCAAGACCCCTTCACGGGTCAACCTTGGTCAAGTCAATGTCCCAGTCAAAGTCAACGCTCATTCCAAGTCAAAGTCAACAATTTGAGTTGACTCAACTCGTCGAGTCAATCCCTTGACTCTCCGAGTTCCTTTGCTACTCTTAGTCGTGAAAACACAAACTAACTCGTCGAGTCCCTTCACAGACTCGTCGAGTTCCACCTTGTACAGAATCGGGACAAACCAACTCAACTCGTCGAGTCCCTCCATGGACTCGCCGAGTTCCTCTGTCTGATTGAGCCATCTAAAGGGATTAAGCTCCTATCCTTCAGATCCAAACTCCCTACTTCATCTACATACCGGGAATACACTTTTTAAGGGTAAAGTTTCCAACTTTACCCGCTATTAATCCTTCTTAATGGGTTTAGCTCAAGCCTTAGCTCTCTAGAACATAAATCTTGGTCTAAAAAGCCATAATACTCCAAACTAAAGCATACTAACATAGATCTAGGCCCTTGACATCAGTTGGACACATAAAGTTCCTAGCTTTCCTTCCATGCATGGCCTTTTGGAGCTTAGAAGGCCAAAATGGCACCTTAGAGCTTGCATGGGGGTTCCAATGGCATACAGTTTGCACCTTTATGCCTTAACAACCCTTAATGATCCCAGATCTGAAAGGATCCTTGCTTGGGACATCCAAATCCCAAGGGTCAAGTTTCTTGAACCAAAACCCTCAAAAAGTGGAAATATGGAGATCTAATGAACAAATGATCAAGTTAGAGACTTTATTACCAGAAAGTGAAGGGAATGAGATGTTGCTTCTGGATCTACAATCTTCTCTTGGAGTCCTCTAGCTTCTTCTTCTTCTACAAGCTTCAAATCACATAAGATCACTCAAAAATGGTTCACACGCTAACACAATGCTCTAGGGTTTTGTGGATTAGGGTTTGGGGCTTGGAGGATGGAAATGAGGCCATAAGGTGGGGATTAAGATGCTCAAATAGGGTGCAAAACCCCAAAATTAGGGTTTCACTCTGGCAGACCTACTCGCCGAGTCGAGGGCTCTTGACTCGTCGAGTAGATAGCTTAATCCCGCGTCCAGATTTCGTCTCTACTCGACGAGTCTGGGTCTCCAACTCGTCGAGTAGTTCTACTAAAATGAATATATTATAAATAAATGCATACCAGAAACCAGGTGTTACACCTGAGACCTATGGTTTTCGGTTTTAGCAGTTTCGCGTCGCGACCAATACATGGTCGTGTCACTAATTATCGACATGGCTCGCGCCACATCACAAAGATCTCGCGTCACGCTTATCCAAAAAACCCTACTTCTCACTCTTACTTCAAATCAACAAGATAGTAACTCATACCTGAAAAATAGGTGTTACATATTTCAATATGATGGAACCCATATGTGTCTATCTGATGTAAAATATAGAAATAATTTATGTATGTAAAGCAAAGACATCTACCAACAAAAATAAAAGTTGTAAATAGAAGCTTGCATTATCATTACTTCTAGCATATAATTATAAAGGGTAACATACAAAAGGCTATTCACTCCAGCTATAGTTTACATCCCTATACATCAACCATTCTGCAACCATATAATTCAAATCCCACATTACAAGAAATAATTATTTATCATTTAAAATATTTTTTTTAAAAGAAAAAACATTTGTGATCCAACCAGAGAGCAGATCAGATTGGCTTCTAGTTGACGACATCAAGAAATGCAAGTTTACTTATAAACAATTTTATACTAACAAAACATATATTCTAAACACTTAAAAGACTTATAAAAACCATTTTCAAATATGAAATCAATAAAGAAATGATATATAGGAGAGGGTCTGAGGGCACAATATAGAACATAAGTGGAATCATGGTGATGTTGGATTAGTGGCATGGCTATTATATAATTATTAAAATTGATTAGAAGAATTAGACACAAATCGACGTCCCAGAACCAAAATTGCCTATCCCAATTGCATTTCTACGCAATCTGATTCCCCAATTTCATGTTTCAAGTATCGATTTAGAGAATTGGTGGGATCGCAAGCAAGACGTACCACATGGCGTTTCTATCGGCGTTAGGTACGCGATCGTACCGCGTTTGGGATCAGGTCGTTTGGAACGTGGATCGTGACTGCTTTGGCGAATCATGTGACTATGGTGGTGGTGTACCACTACCATTCGACTCTCCTTTATTGTTCCCCTGGATTCTAACTGCCAACAACATTCAACAGAAAAGGGAGAACAGAGAAGGGAGAAGAAAAATCGAGAAAAAAAAGAGAGCGAGAATAAAGATAATAAAAAATGAGTAGATGAGATGGTCCGACAACTTACCTGATGGAAGAGACCGAGGGAGGAACAGTGAAGACATCTTGGGACATTAATGGAAGCGAGGAGCATGGTCGTCCAGACGTGAATTGGAGAAGCGAGTCTGTTGAAACTTCCAAAATCAGGGCTCACATAATTGGAACGGTGATGATGGATGAAGTGTTGGTTGATAGGGCCGGTCGTCGTGCGAGGCCTGAAGAGTCGGTGTGGGTTGGAGGTAGTGGAGGTGGGTGAGGGCGGAGATAAAGGAGAGGAGATATGAGAGAACATTCAAAGTCAAACTCACTAACCGAGCAGCAAGTGCGTAGCAACAGGATTCCGCCATAAAACTATCACTCGAATCTCTCGAACCTGAAATTATCGATCTTGTCCACACCAAATACAAATTCGGAAAAATCGCATATCAGGAAGTCAAAAATATGATTTCAGAAACTTCACAACTGAAAAATCGCATATCAGGAAGCCACACAATGCTTTTAGGGTTTCTTTTGATCGAAGAGGATTTTACAACAAACGAAGAAGAAGGAGGAGAGTATCAGGCGGGGTTTTTAATTTTTTGGGATTTCATTCCCCCTGCAATTAAAAAATTGGAGAACGCGCGTTCATGAAAAAAAATTTAAAACAACAGTTTTACACGACAAGCTTTTTTATGATAGGTGCCCTCCGTGTTTTTAATTTTTTTGTTGGACACTAATTTTAGGGCACGCATAAATGCGTGTCCTCTATCCTTCAAATTTTGGAAAACTGTCATTAATTTTTAGGGCACGCACAAATGCGTGTCCTATATCAGTGTGTGTCATTGTTTGCGTGTCATTAAAGGGTTGTTTTCTAGTAGTGAACACTCCTTCCCCAAACCATGAGCATGTTAAAATACTATCAAGGCTACCACACTATGAAGCTACCCGTCCCAAACCATCTTTACAAAAAGGGGATATTTCCATCACTCTATATTAACAACCAAACACTAGCATACCAAAATCCCCACCCCAATCTTCCAAACATGCTTTCTTATACGTTACATAAGTTGGGTAATCAACGAAATAACAAAAATCACAAGAAAAACCACAATCCACTTATGTTTTGTCCTAAACAACTTCATTTCACCTAATAATTGTCCTTTCATCCTCAACCTTGGATATCTCAGCTTCTTCATTTGCTTTGTCACTAACACCCCTTAATTTCTCGGCATCTAACAACTTTTCAAGTGCACTAATCTTCTTTTGAAGTTTCTTATGGTAACTATTCTCCATCATTTCATCGAGCTCCAATTTAAGAGTAGGAAGAGTCTTCTGGTAGTGTTCATTTGCCAATGGTAGGTCAATTCACTTGAAAAAGCCACACTTTTTTGTTGCTTTCTTAAACTTCATAGAAAATTGTGTTAGGGTTTTGTATAAAAAAGTCATTAACATATTTATATTTGTTGGTGTCAATAAAAAAAATCAATGGGCGATCTTTACCATAGAGTTTATGCAGTTACAAAATCTTCTTCCCAATTTTGTCTAGGCCAAGAAACCCTCTCCATGTTAGCAATTTCATAATCACACAACAATACTGTATCTGCCAAGAGAATTAGGTTAGGGTTGCTTGATCTTTTGTGAGCTGGATGAAGATGTCATGGACGAAGTCGCTTTTTGTAGGGTTTCAGTGTAATTTTTTCATCTTAAAAAGGGAAGAGGGAAGACGAAGTTGTTTTCATTTGGGGATTATCGGTTTTCTTATTAAAGAAACTAATGATCGAAAGTTTATGTTGGTATCTATGTGGACATAGATAAGCCACGTAGACAAGCCCATGGTAGATGTCACCGGTTACAAAGGGTAAAAATGTGGCTCATTACCTTCATTAGCATACGTGGACTTAGGTAAGACATGCATACAAGGCCATGGTAGATGTCATCGTTTACAAAGGGTAAAAACACGGCTCATTACCTTCATTAACATGCGAAATAAGAGTTTATGGGTACTTAAAGCACAAAAAAGTGACATATTAAAACCAAAATAAAAAGTTTATAGGGTTTTAATGACTTTAACCTTTAATAAATTCAACAAAAATATAATATTCATTTAAAACTATTACGGTAGGTTTTCAACTTAACAACGTCAGCCGTCAAATTTAGATTGTATTATGACGGTTGGCTCGATAACATATATCTACTAAATCTAATTCAAAAAGAGTAAACATGGTTGAGTATAACAAGTGGAAAAATAGTCGTACGTTATGGGTCTATATTTTATAATGGGAAAACGTGTCTTATTGTTGAGACAAAAAAAGTCAAAGGCGACTCCATTGCGTAAGGGACGCCAAACTCGTTTACGTACATACAATTAATTCAACCCGCTTGATCATAATACTTAGATGTCAAGACCGATTAATCTACTATAAAATGATTAGTCTATTCTGGATTAAAAGAGATACCATTGATAATGAATATCTTATTAATCTAAATACGTTAAGATCAAAGTGTTATTTTATGAATGTATTCATAAAACCAAGACAAAAAGAGTAATTCATTTATTATTTTCGGATTAATTAATCAAATTAAAAGAAATCTAATGTTTGGATTAGATTAGGTTCACTATGTTGATGGGTTAACATGAAATTACGTGTTTGTATAATTGAAATTTAGATACGTAGTCATTAATTACAAATAGTTTAATCAATTTAGGTTTCAATTCAATAAATTACTCAAACAATGTCTATGGTTAACCTACCTAAACTATATTTCAATTCACTAAACCTATCGTGGAACCCCCTTAATTTCGGGCTTCATACACTTTAATATAAGCAAGTCATTGAACATTTTTTATGACCATTTGTAATCATTATTGAATCATATTGAGCATTTGGTTGAATTAGATAATAAATCAAAATAAATACTTTTGTAATACATGTCAAAATGTCAAAATAGATTGGTTTAGATAGGGTTGACCAATAACATTTTTAAGAAAAGTTATTTAATATGTTACCTTTGATTTAAAAAAAAAAACTATTATGAAAATGATATATTTTATAAAACAAAAGTATAATCTTTTGAAATTGACTTTTTGGAAAATACATTTTATGCTACTTATGAGTTTTGATCTAACCTTTTATCCCTTTGCGTTTTTCACTTTTTTTAATTACCCTTTAAAAATAAACATAACCCTAATCGGAACTTCTAGAAATAAATGAACCCAGTCACCACCCCATCTGTTATAAAATTTACAACACAAAATAAACAAGTTAAATAAATCCAAGAAAATCCCATCTTCTTCTTATCAACAAAAAACATGCACTGATTGAGTTGGATTATTAAATTAGTATACGTGTCATCTAAGCAGTAAATCATTCCCAAGAAACTCTTCTTCTTTCACATCACATCTTAAATAAAGATACAACACAAAAGAAAAAGATCTTATATGAGCCAGAAATTCACTGGCCAGGAAAATAGAAGCTCACGGACTCGATCGTTTCCCTCCTTTTGCATTCTTCAATTGGTAAGCAGCTTTTAGCTTGTTTTAATCAAACTAGAAAACCCGAATCTTGCGGTTTAGCTTCTTGAAAAACCCATTTTATTTGTAGTTTGTATACCAATTGTTATCAGCAGTATTCTTGAAGTGATGAGACGAAAACCGAAGTTATCTTGAAAAACCGAGGTGGGTTGCATCAGATCCATGAAACCCAGGTTCCATGTGTGAAAATCTTAAAAAAAGTTTCTATCTTTTTGGGGGTTTCTGTTCGATTCATGGTGGATTCGAATTTTTATCGGTATAAATTGATGAGTCAGGTTTCTTCTTAGTGTTCAGTAATAAATCTGTGAAATTAGGACTTGAAGTTCTTATTACGTTCTTTCATGTGGTTTGAATGATTGTGAATCCTCAAGATAGATAATAAAGAATCCCAAGTATTCGTAGTATTCGCAAGTTCTCTTTAGGGTTATCAGATCCAGTATTTCACACAACCAGATCTGTTAACCATTTTGTAATTGGTCAACTCTAGGCTGTTTTGCTCCTTATATTATTGATGACCTAAATAATAGGTTAGCTAGTGTCAAAAGTAAAAAAGATGGGTTTGATAGAAGAGAAAGCACCTTCATCTGTTTCAGTTGCAATTAGCTTAACAAGTCCCATAACCAAAAACCCAATGGATTTCAGTCGTATCACACTACTAACTGGGACCTGTGATGGATCAACAAGTAATCTGAATATTAAAATCCAAGAAAGTGGAAACAAACATGATGATATGATGCTTCAAGAAAGCAATCCAGATGAAATCATGTCAATTGGGGATGCAAGTTCAATTAGTCTGCCAATTACAGTTGCATTCAAGGGTATAGATAAGGGTCAGATAGTTGCAGAAGTAATAAGTGTGGGGAAAGAATCGATAGAGAATGCAATTGGGCATACTTTAAAAGCATCAATGGTGGTTCTTGCTGATAAGAATCATAGAAAAAGTGTAAGAAGTGTTTTTGAATTGGAATATGTGCCATTTTATGGTTTTCACTCTGTTTGTGGTAAAAGGCCAGAAATGGAAGATGCTGTTGCTACTGTTCCTCAGTTTATGAAAATTCCTGTTAGAATGTTGGCTGGTGATCGTATGATTAATGGAGTGAATCCGAATTTGAATGATTTGACTGCTCATTTCTTTGGAGTATATGATGGTCATGGAGGCTACCAGGTATTTTCTTTTTTGATTTTTTTTTTAGTTTATTACGTAATAATGTCGTCATGATTCTTGATTCATTTATATGTCCAGTATTGATTCGTTATTTATTTAGCATAATAAATGTGACTGTTTTTTTTCCACGTATTTTTATGGTCATACAGATACAGTGTCGTGCATATATTAAAAGAGTAATTATGATTATGACTATGATTTTCTCGCATGCCATATTCTTTCGGATTTACATGATTTTCGTGGTTTCTTTTGGTTACATTTTTTATATTGGGATGTAAAAATTAGATCATATTTCTCGACTTAGGTGGCCAATTACTGTGGTGATCGTGTCCATATTGCATTAGAAGAGGAGATCAAAGTGATGAAGCAAGAACTGGTTAAAGGAACCATGAATGACACAGTACAAGCTCAATGGGAGAAAATCTTCACTAATTGCTTTCAAAAGGTTGATGATGAAGTTGGAGGAAAAACAACCGTAATCATCGATTCCTCTGAACCCATAGCCCCAGAAACTGTGGGGTCCACTGCTGTTGTGTCCTTGATCTGTTCATCACACATTATAGTTGCAAATTGTGGTGATTCAAGAGCTGTACTTTATCGTGGCAAAGAAGCCATCCCTCTGTCAACTGATCATAAGGTAAAAACCATATCATTCATGTTGTCATATATAAATAAAAACAAAAAAAGTTTGTTGCTTTTTTTTTATATATAAAATTATAATTTTTTACTTCAGCCGAATCGGGAAGATGAATTTGCAAGGATCGAGGCTGCAGGTGGGAAAGTCATACAATGGAACGGACACCGTGTTTTTGGCGTTCTTGCAATGTCAAGATCCATCGGTGAGTTAATTTTTATAGTGAAATGTCTAAAATACCCTTTAGAAACGACATTGTAGTGAATCTTATAAAAGCATGTTTTGCAGGTGACGGGTATTTGAAGCCATGGATAATACCCGAACCAGAAGTCACGTTTACTCCCCGAGCTAAAGAAGATGAGTGTCTTATTTTAGCAAGTGATGGATTGTGGGATGTAATGTCAAATGAGGAAGCATGCCAAGTGGCAAAAAGAAGGATTCTTATTTGGCACAAGAGGAATGGTGGGGCCCCATTTGAAAGGGGTGTAGGGGGAGTGGACCCCGCAGCACAAGCAGCAGCCGATTACCTGTCGGTGCTTGCTCTTCAGAAAGGAAGTAAAGACAACATATCTGTGGTTGTGGTGGACCTCAAACCACAAAGGAGGTTGAAACCAAAACCTTGAGAATATCTGTGGTTGTGTTCACCCATAGTTTTTAAGTGATATAGGGTTTGTACAATTTTAAAGAAAGAAGTGGTGATCTCTCTTTGTTTACATAACACTTGGTCCTAATGTTTGTATGAGAAATGCTTTACTCTCACACATAAATAAGACAGGCGGATCTACTAAGTTGCCTTGATAAGTATGTATTATCTTAATGTGTTGAGAGGGTATGTATGTTTATATCAACATACCAACCGGTGTGTGATGGTTTTCCTTAACAAAGATACTTAGTATATCTTCACCAAATCTCAGATGCTATGATGCTATGCATCAAAGATTGTATAAAAAATGTTTCTATGTTTTTGTATATTATGACCATCTACTTTTTTGTACACAATGGTTTGACTTCGAAGCCTCCAAAGTTTCCATGAAGCTTTAAGTATGATATTAATTGAAGACAAAATTACATAAATGATCATTGTGGTTGACAAAATTGACCAACTTTAGTCCTTATCACAATTTGTTTGTATAGATAGTCCTTATGCTTTCAAAATCTTGTAAAGATGATCTTTTTGGTTAACGGTGTTAACTTTTCCGGTTAAGTTCCATTTAAATGACAATTTGCCCTTTGCTGTTATAGGGACCATTTATGTAATTTGTTCTTATCGTAGGGACCATTTATGTAAAATTGTTATTATTTATTAGTGTTTTTATTAAATTATTTATATTTTTTAGATTTTAGATTTTTTTGCCGTTTTATTTGAATATATTTTTCAATTTTTTAGTTATATTTTCTTGCTTACATGTTTTGTATTTGATGTTTGTTGGAATACATTTACTAATGATTTTTTTGACGTTTTTTCTGAATATATTTTTTCGAATTCTTTTTATGTTTGTTCAAATACATTTTTTTTGTTTGTTTATATTTGTTATTGATTTCATGGCCACTTTAATAATTCTACTTACGATCAAGTTTTTTTTGTTCTTTAATATAGATAAGGTTATATACTTATCATTTTTAATACAAATATTTAACTAACACATAAGGTTATATAATTATTATTTTTGTAAAGTTATATATATATTATATATATATATATATATATATATATATATATATATATTGTAAAAAAGTGTAAAAAGGTTTGTTAAAAGTGAACATGATTAATATTGATAAGCTAATTAGAATATATATAGACTAACCAAAATCCAAAACGAGTGTCAAGTTATGCACATACTAATTGGAATTCGCATAAGTCGAAAATGAATAAACTGTCTAAAAACAAAAAGATAACTTGAAAACATTATAATATGTGAAATGAACCGGTCGTTCTCAGCAAGGCTGTGATGCGGTCTCAGGTTAGTCTATGTGTACATAATCTATATTAATCCTATTCATGTTTAACAAACATTTTTACACTTTTTTTTACAAAGAATGTTTATGAAAAGATTTACAAAAATAATAATATACAAACTTATATGTGTTACATAGTTAAATATATGTATTAATAACCTTATCTATATTAGAAAAAAAAACATGATTATAAGTGAATTAAGTTACGAACTATGATTTAGTGACTATGAAATCTTTAACAAAAATAAATAAACAAAACGTAAAATAGTTTTAAAAATGTATTTGAAAAAAAAAAACCAAAAAAATTGAAAAAAAAAAGATACTCGAAAAAAAACATTAGTAAATGTATTAGAACAAAACATAATAAAAATCTAGAAAAAATTATTTGAATAAAACATCAAAATATGTAACCAAAACAATATAAAAAAAATTAACTAGTATATTCGAACAAAACGTCAAAAAAATCTAAAATCTGAAAAATATAAATAATTAAATAAAACTATAATAAATAATATACAAAATTATATAGATGGCCCTTGTGATAGGAACAAATTACATAAATGGTCCCTATGCCATGAAGGGCAAATGTATATTTTATAGACACTTAACTGAAAAAGTTAACAACGTTAGCAAAAAGGATTGTCTTTACAAGATTTCGAAAATACAAGACCATCTATGCAAAAAAAAAAAAAAATTCATCACGAAGACTAAAGTTGGTTGATTTTGTCAACCACAATGATCATTTATGTAATTTGTCTTAGTTAAATGAAAATGATTTGTCATTTGTAACCTATCAAACATATAATGTGTACTTAATATTAGTTTGTAATATATTGTATTATTTATTAGAAATTACTAACAATTATATGCTTTAAACTCTATTACATATTCTTTAGAACCTTTCAATTTTTCATTTTATTTCCTTTCGACATGATCCATCTTATGCACATAGTCAAATAAATGTGTCTTTAATCATAATTTTAAATGATGACTAAACCAACCATTATCATAATACTACACTTAATGACATAGATAAAATATGTATATTACACACTTAATGACATAGATAAAATATGGATATGGCCATTGATCTAATAACCGTTTAAGCTTCTACGTTAGTTTTGGACTACGTTTTTGTTTCTATCAGTGGCAAAGTAATATAATATCGATGGACGTATGTATTTGCTAGAAAAACTATTTAAAAGACATGGAATACGAAATACCTCAACTCTTGAAGGTGAAATTGTGAGGGTTGAAAAGAAATACATGAGTAAGAAATAATAATAGGATTGTTGGTGTCACTTACAATACAGAAGCTTGCTTATGAAGAAAAATTACAAAATACTATCGACAACATTTAAATTCCAAACAACGAACAATTAATAAACGACCACTACTACTACTACCAAATCAACATGTATTGCCATTTTTTTATTTGTAATTTCCAAAGTTTAAATATAAAAAGAAAATTCAGTTTTTCCAAACCGGTTTCACACGATCCTAACAGGATTCTATAGGTTTTTACTTTTTACTATTAATTTATTGTCAAACCAATTTAGATCCGATCCGGTTTGTGCATCTGTCCAAATACGCACGTCCTTGGACTCCATTACTCCTCGTGCAGCGAGGTCCGGTGCTCGGGCTATTGGGTTTGTGGCCCTATCGGACCATGGTCTAAGATTTTAACTTGTTACGGCACATAAGCACATGTAATATCTTACACGGCGGGGCCCGAACGTAGACGGCGGCAGTAATCCAGTCTACCAACTTCAAACCCAACAGCGACGACGGCGCGACTTCGTTTTCACGGAAAGGTGACGCTATGTTTCCTTTTGACATTCTAATCAGCAAGTCCGCTTTGTAATCCGGTTCGAATTTGCTTATGCAGTTTTTGATTCTACATTTCGACCAAGGGTTTTAGTAAATTACCGCTACATTTGCTTCGTTTAGCTGTTCATTCTCTATAATTTGATTGTTTTTATTTACCGAACCTTATTTCGTTGATCCTTAACCTGAATAGATCTTCCGAGTTATCTTTTCATGTAATTGGGAACGATTTCCTAATGCTACCAATTAGCTGAAGAATTTTACTATCGAGGATGAATAAAATTTGTTATTTCTTGTCACTGATTCTGAGAAAACCTTGTCATTTCGTCTGCTACTTGGGTTCCACAGTAATCCATATTTGTTCTTGTTCTTCTATTAGGTTGTATTCAACATTCAACTATTCAAGGGCAGCTATACTAATTATTTGTCGTTTTAACAGGCCTTTTAAGGAAAAAGAAGCTGAAAGACATTTGACTTACCAACCAAAGTAATGAATCTTAAAGTTTATCATACAGCTATTTATATGTTAATGCTTGTTGCTTTAAGAACCAAAGGTGGTATTAGCTATATGTTTGCTTATACTGATTATTCTGAGAAACAGTTTATTCTATTGATGCATGTAGTGATTTCATCGGATTCAAAGCAACATAAAAATTCAAGCTACACACTAATTGGAGACATAGAAGATAATAATCAGCTTCAGCTAGCATATTTTGATGAACCCCTCCCTTATTGTGGCTGTGGAATAGGATGGTTTTGGTGAGTTCTTTTCCTACCATGAAACACCATGTGTGGATTTATATATGATGTTTAAAAAGTATTTAAAAATGAAACACACAGAGGGCAAATTTGTAAAAAGTTACCCATATATTATAGGCATATAGCTTACAAGATTAAGTCGTGTGTTTTTGCAGTCTATTGGTTGGATTTGTGTTCCCTTTGCTGTGGTATTATGCAACAATCTTGTACTTGAGAAATTACTATCAAAAGGATCCAAGGGAGAGAACAGGACTTGCTGCTAGTGCAATAGTGGTATGTGTTTCAAAAACCAATCTATGTCCTTTTTTTTTTTTTAAATATGTTTCACTTCATTTCCAGTTGAATTAGAGTACCACATATATTATTCTTTATGGAATGCTAAATCCCACCATTATAATCACTCTATTCAAACTACTTGTCAATTGGGTGTCAAAAGAAGCTTGATGATCTTGACTTTTAGAAATGGTCAACGGTTATGTTAGCCCTTATGATAAGTCCAAAGGTTAAAGTTGATAGGTGGTTTAACTGTTTTTCCCCAGAAACAAAAAAAAAGAAAAGTTATTCAACAATTATGGTGTGCTGGAAATATATTTAGTTAAAATGTCAACACTATCTAGTTACACCTCTATCCATGGATCGTAGAATGTTTTTGGAAAAAATGGAATCTGTCAAAGGAATTGTCATAATCTGTCACATGTTTGGTTGGCAGAAAATGAAATGAAATTTAAGTATAAAAGTTAAAATGGTTTTAAATAATTATTCGTATTAACTAATTGTGTTTATTGTAAACATATATGTAATTAAAATGTGAACCAAACACGCCCTTAATGTTTGTCACTGACCCAAGTTTGGTTTTATTTCAGGCTCTGATATTTACAATAGCAGTGCTTATTGCAATAGTGGTTATTGTCCTTTGATTCCTGTTGTGTCTCCATTGATGGTGAGTCTTTGAATCTTTTTGATGTTTTCCATATTAACTCAATGTAGAGAGAGCACTAACAAAAGGTCAACTATGTAAATTGACACATGCACAAATCTTCTAGCATTAATGAAACTTCTCAAATTGAAATGTTATGACATATTTACTTAATTAATTATATGATTATGGTACCCATAATGGGTTATATGTAAGAAACACCAACATACTTTCTTTGATTTGTTTATTATACCTTCCTATACTTTCAATTATTATAGTATTGTACTTTGAGAAATCTATGTGGTCATAGCAATGACATCCAAATACGACACAATTATTGATGCTAAATTCAGATAGAATTTTCCAAGTATAATGTCCTAATAAGAAATCACTGAAACTATTTTATAATTGGGTAGAATTTCCAAGGGTTAATTACAAGAAAGAGTGAAAGACCTTCCCGTTTTATCATTTTTTTTTATTTAAACCTAAACTTTGTTTTTTCAACATTGAGGAGTGGGGTAACTTTTTGGTTTGGCTATTTTAGCCCATTCACGTGCCATTGCCTATGTTTTGGCATTTATTAGTTTTTTCAAAAAAGACCCAACATTTGTTTTCTCAAAAGACCTAACAATATGATATTTTTCGGTTTAAACATAGTTATTCAATTATGATTCGACGAGTTCATGGTGATTATGATGCTTTGCATTCACAACTCAATCACATTGGTCATATTTGGCAATGTTATTCACCATACCAATCTAAATAAATAATCAATCAACATTTAATTAAAAAAATAAACAATCAATCACAATTAATTATTTGCAAAAAACCACAAACCGATCAGCTTTGACCAAACCCAGAATTCAGTCCGTGTGGATTCAATGGAAACCCTAAAATACAATGCTTGTGCTTTTTTCAAATTTTGAGGATATAGAAGAAAAAAAAAACTTATCTAGAATTGTCAATGTCCTTGATAAACCTCAAAAACCTCGTAAAGTGTCCGGACCACACATATATTTCACCCATGAATCCATTCATGTGATGCAACATGTACATGATTCACTTAACGCCATTTATCATGCAATTTTATAAATAGAAATTTACCATCTAAGCATACAAAAGCATTATAATCACTTAGTATACTTAACAAGTTTAAACCGAAAAAGTGCCAAAATGTTAGATCTTCGGTGAAAACAAAATGTTCGGTGTTTTGTAAGACCATTCGTTATATCCACCACTAACCACTATAGTGGTGAGTGTCAGGTCGTCACCACTAAACATATGAGATACCCACCACTAACCACTCCACTCAGCATCATTTATTATTATTATTTTTAATTCAAAAATATAATAAAATTACATTTTTTTGAAAATAATAATAAAAAAAACATTGAATTTTTTTAACTAGTTTTTCATTAATTATAAAAATAAAAATACAACTTCAAACTACGTTACTTAATTAACCTAGAATAAAAAAACATTACATTAACTTAAATCACTTAAATTAAAAAAAAAACAAACAAACATAAGTAAAAAAAAATTAATCTTCATTCATGTTGAGTTGGTACAAATGATTTGCGACATCTTCTTGAAGATTGAAACACGTTTCGTTGTTATGAATTTCAACAACTCGTGATAAAAATTCATTTGTTCCGGGTACGAACTCTTCAAACGGGATGACGACGTCGTCCGGATCATACATGCAAATCGCTCGACCTCGATCTTCAATGATCATATTATGCATTATAATATATGCTACGGCCATTTTTTTAATCCTTTCATTATCCCACAATCGTGTAGCGTATTTCACTACATGTCATGTCTGCTTGAGGACTCCATATGCCCTCTCGATATCCTTCATCGCTGATTCCTGCCTCTTTGTGAACAACTTTGCCTTTTCACTTCGCGGAACCGAATCTTCATAAGTGTAGAATAATTCGTGTATATCCCATCATAAAGGTAGTAACCGTATTTGTACGAATGTTCGTTCACCGTGAACGTCATATCAGGTGTTTTGGTGGTCCAAATATCGTTGAAAAGTGGAGACTAGCAAAGAACGTTAATGTCGTTGTTAGACCCCGTGACTCTAAAAAACGAATGTCATATCCATAAATCCTGAGATGCAGGCCCGTCCCAGAGGGTGGACGATAGGGACGACCGTCCATGACCGATCTTTAAAAGGGGCCCAAATTTTTTTTTTTATGGAAAATGTTATATTTAGAAGATAGTACAAGTAATTTTCTTTCAATTATTGAGTTATTATAACAAACTTAATGAAAATTTTTGTATTTTAAGGGCCCATTTTTCCTTCTCGCCCTAGGCCCAAAATATCTTTGGAGCGGCCCTGCTGAGATGCAACAACTTCTAGGATTATACTTGGTTCACCTATATATCTCCTCGAGTGAATTGACCATGTCATGCAGTTGGACATTTTTCCCAAGCCACATGCGTACAATCTAGACTACCAAGCATACCCGGAAATCCATGCCTTTTTTCATGAGTCAAATATAATCTCTCAATATCTTAGGGAGTAGGTTTACACAAATATTGTTGGTGAAAAACATCATATACACATGCACAAAACCAATCTACACAATCAATTGCGGTCCTCTCAGATACTTTCAAGTATTCGTCGGATGCATCAAATGCTATACCGTATCCCAAATACCTAAGCGCAGCCGAACACTTTTGTATACTACTAAAACTCATTCTTCCTCTAGCATCGGGTTTTTGTTTGAAAAAATCATAACGGACTTCTAAAGCATTATTAATACGTAAAAATATAGTCTTATTTACACGGAAACGACGTTCGAACGAGTCATCATTGTAAAGACAATCATCGGCAAAGTAATCACGTACCAATAAGTCGTGTGCGGCTTGACGATCACGATTGACGACCGCCCTTGTACGAGCAACATTCGAACTTTCTTCATCGTGAAGGTGTTGCACAACGTTGAAGAAGGTCGAGATGAATTCTCCGTCATCATCCGAGTCAAAATTCTTAAAGAAATCCATGTGTTTTTTGGTGAAAAATGAGGGTTTTTAGAGAATAAAGGTGTATAATTTGATGAAAATAAGAGTTTAGGTATTGAGTTTGTAATAATAATAATAATAATAATAATAATAAAAAAATTAAAAACTTGAAAAATGACCGTTAAACAGTAAAAAAAAACCAATGATTGGGCATTTGCATTCGTCGTTCCCAACACGAAGAGCCACGAGCACGGACCACCACGAAACCTCGGGGGTGGTGTGCACGAAATTTTTTTGTGGCCACCTAGACCACGACCGAGTTCGTGGTGGATATACCACTCGGCCTAACAATAATATTGATATGGCATGCTATATAGGGAATGACAACCAAGAGTTAACATGGAAATGAGAAAAAACGAATAAAAAAAAAAATTAAGGTTCAAACTCAAAAAATACTAAAATGTTAGGTATTTCTTATATGAATGCCTTTATAAAAATAGAATTTGAAAGCACAATTGTTTTAATAGAATAAAATAAATTTTAGACACTCTAACCTTTCTATATTAATAAAAGAATAGTTTTAGGTTGTCACATGTCATTCTATTATTGTTTGCGGCATGACATTTTCTTAGAGCTTATGGATATAATCATATTCCATAAAATTAGCTAATATTTAATTTTGTATTTCAAAATTTCATATTATATTCAAGGGAAAAATGCAGAAAAACCCAACCCTTTATCATATTCCATTCAAAAAAACCCTTATATTATATTTACCTTCACAAAAGCCCTTACATTATAAAATACCTTTCACTAAAACCCAAATAACCGGTTACATTACCTGATGACCGGATGACCTGGAATAAAAAAAAAGACTCACGTGAACAAATTCCAAATCCTTCTTTTAATACCCTTTAATACATTGACCAAACATTAAACAAAAGGAACTAAGGTTTTTGTCGTTTGTCCCTCTCACCTGGTTTGTCTCTCAGGAACAAGACAAAGCTCCATAAGCTACATCTCTCAACAGGTAAACACATGCCATTTTATTTTTTTGGTTTAATGGCTGGAGTATGGTATCTTCTAGATATGTTATGCATAAAAACGTGATAAATGTTCTTATATTTGTCTCGAAATCAGTGGTAGGGCTACGTTTTTCATAAGAAAACATGATAATGTCTTTTTGGTCTTGAAATTAGCAGTAGGTTTCTTTTGGTCTTCAATAAGTGGTAATGGTATTTGCAGTGGGTATTAATTTGAGTGAAGAAAATATGATAATGTTTTTTTGGTCTTCAAATAGGTGTCATTATTTTGTGATTTTTTGTATTTGTAGTGAGTATTAATCACCAATCAGTGAACATGGCTTCATCTTTAGTATTTTACTTGAGTGAAGAAGGAAGCACGGATAGTGAAGACGAGGAATATGTTGAGTCTTCTACGGATACAGATTCCATAGGGTCATTAAGTCTTGACATAGAAGAGGATATGTTTATAGATGCCCGATTTGAGGAAGATGTTGACACAAGTATGACAAAAACCACATATGATCCTTTTTTGTATTTGTTATGCCCTCGTCATAAAGAAGATGCTGAAATAGTAAAATTTGCTAGTCTACCCTGCTGGAGGAAATGTGTTTGAAATAAGAAATGGATACGATGCATATAAGGTTGACTTAAATGCACACTATTGTAGTTGCAAGCTATGGCAATTATCCGACATTCCTTGTGTACATGCTGGTGCATCATTGAACTACTGTCACATTGATCCTGAAGATTATTTGAGTACATGGTTTAGTAAGGATAAATTCATAGCAGCATATACCAAGACAATCGATCCCATGAATGGAAGTAAAATGCGGCCAAAAACACCTTACGAAAAGACTTTGCCACCAAAAGAAATGAGGATGCCAGGCAGACCTACTATTAAAAGGAAGAGACATGAGACTGAAAACAAATCCAAGTATCCAACTGTTTCAAATGCGGGGAGGCCAAAAACTTGTCGTAACTGTTTACAAATTGGCCATAATGCTAGAACATGCAAGAATGAGAAACAACTACCCCCTCCCAAGCCAAAAAGGCCGACCGGAAGGCCTAGAAATGACGATTTTGATGATCGTACAAAAGGTGGAAGAGGAAGTAGAGGAGGTGGAAGAGGACGTAGAGAAGGAAATAGAGGACGAGCTGGAAATAGAGGAGGAGGTGTGAGAGTTATAATAAATGACGATGATGATTTTGTGGATCGTTATATGGGTGAGTCGTCTACACTTGAAAATAAAACATGTTATTTATGGAGTTTTTTTTAATATTTAGTTTTCTATGTAGAAAATGAAAACGAACAGGTTATTTATGATGATGAAGGAGTGCCTAACAGTCAAACACAAACTTGTGTCCATGAGACGCAATATGATGCAGATGGTGATCTTCAAGAGGTTCCGGTGAGAGATGAGGAAGATTTTGAAGATTTTTGGAACATCATACCAAACGAGTACTGGAACTATGAAAACAAGAAAGATTGAGTAGGTGGAATTAATAGCCCTTTTTGTATAGTGGGCAATGATTAAAAAACTTTCTGCATTTAAAAACACTATGCAGTTTATGCACTTAGTAGTAGCCTTTTTGAAAACTCAATGCAGTGTTTCTACACTTTGTAAGGGTCATTTTGTTATCTTAGTGCAATGTGTTTGTGCTTATATACATTTGTAGAAGAAATTTCTTATCAGGACCATTTTGTTAAAAAAAATGTCGACAGAGACCATTTTTGTAAAAAAAATGCCGACAAGAACCATTTTTGTATTAAAAAACTGCCAACAGGGACCATATGTTTAAAATACAGCAGACAGATCATATATGTCATGTTTGCTTGTCTTGAGTATTGAACAGATCAACAAAAGCATCACTTATGTTCAGGGACCATTTTTTTTCTTAATATTTGATTTGTATACAGGGACCATGTAACGTCCGGGTTTCGGGGCTAAGCATTTTTAGACAATGTAATAGTCTACGTTAACTATTGTAACTCTTTGATGTAATAAAGATGAAATATTTGAGTATTTTGTGAATTATGTGAATTTATATGCGTATTATTTAATTATAAAGATATAATTAATAAAGAATAAAAATAAGCGTCAAAATTAAAGTGTGAGATAAGCCTGATATATTTACATAAAGTTGTAGAGTACGTTCCCGCCTACGCGTGGATATAAAGAACGTCGAAAACGGAGTTCGTATGCAAAAGATACGACAATTTTAAGAAAATCAGACAGTAAAACATTGCTTTTCTTTAATCGCGTAAAACCGAATCGATCCTTTGAGGTACTTATGCTTTGCCGACGGGATTTCCGAGAGTGTTTTTGGACTCAGGATATGGTCTAGTATTTGATTTCATACTCGAAATATTTTTAACGAAAATATTTACAAAAGTTGCGAAAACGGACACCGCGTGCCGTTTAGACGCAAAACTTTAAGTGCGATTTCCCGGAGTTCCGTAACTCCAAAAATTAATCCGTTCGGGTTTATGGAATCCTTGAATTACCCTCTTTCATAAGAAATTTTCGAAAACGCAATCCAATGTCGGGATCTCGATTCATCAATCTATGAGCGTTTTGGACAAGTTAAGTAATCAAACTACTTTGTGGGACCCATTAGGCTTATAGAACAACATGTCCAACTCATTTCCATCTTTTTCCCACGTTTTTCTTTATTCTTTCTTTCTTCTCACCCTTCCTAGTTGTGTGCACTCTTACCCAAAGGTACCAAGTATGGAGGTGAAGCATGGCCATTATAAGCTTGTGAGTATGCATGCTTACTATAAATATAAGGAGCTTCTCATCCTTAATTGACACACCAAAAAAATCTCAGTTCTTCTCTCTACCTTTCCCTCATCGTAATCAGCAAGAGAAACGAAGAAGAAAAGCAAGGCAGCCAACGTTGGCCACCTTGCTGCCTCACCAGAAAAATAGTTGTTGCCACCGCGATACACCACCTCCAGCCACCCCGTTTGTTCCTAGGTACTCCCAAGTCAGTGCTTAACATTTTTCATTCTTTGTGTGTTCCATTTCGACGAACGGTTTGAGCTCCACAAATCTATTTGTGCATGTGTGTGTTTTTGCGTCCAATTTTGACGTGATCAGGGGGGTGATGCCTCCTAATCAAAATTTTGATGCACATATCTTGGCCAAACTTTGTTTCCAAATTAATTCCCCATACCCTATTTCGAAATTCTTAACATTTTTGGTCCTAATTCATTTAAACCTTCATTTATTTATTCACAAATGGTCCTTCCTTGGAAACCTCTTACAAATCAGATCCTAAACTCTAAACTATGATGTATATGTTCCATATTGGTCCCTCATTTGGAAATTATATTTATAATTTAGTCCAACTAAGTTATTTAATTAACATAACGGACCCTATACCTTGGTTAATTACCAAACTACCCTCCAAATATTAATTATATTAATATTTCCTTAGGAAACTAAATTTTCTCGGAGATTCGTATTCACAGAAATACTACTCGACCTTCTCGCATCCATTCCAGAACACTAATCGTCTATCAAACGTTAAGGTGAGTGCATAGTTACTTTCATCTTACACATAGGTATGAAATATTTTATATAAATTACGTGCTACGTGTGCATATTATCTGTATACTTGCTATCTATGCTAGATGAACGATTTTATACATGTTTTAAATGATTTAAACTGTATATGTATTTTATAACTACAAAATGTGTTGGGTAAAACATGGGTAGATGTAATAGTTGCTGTGTGAAAAAAAATAATGAGAGGCCTCGTTATAGATGTTATTGATGATCCAGTCATCTAGCGGAGTATAGATGACGACCACGGACTATTCTAGACAGTCCAGTAGAACGCTAGCAGACTCGCAACCTGTAGGTGTTTATTTGAACTGTGTGCTCACCAGCAGTACTCCATCCCCCACATGGTTGCCTTATTTGACATGAATTGCTGAGGAACCCCCAAAGCATGTGTTGTCACCCCGATGAAAGTCCTTAGACTAGATCCCTTGTGTTAGATGTTTTAGGGACGTAAAGTGAGGATAACGGGAAGGGATAATCGGGTTGTTTGGTTGATGAAAATAATAAATTTATTTATTATGGGTTGAAAACCCTATGTGCTCACCAGGCTCCCAAGCCTGACCCACATTATAGGTAGTGGTGCATGAGCATAGATGTTTGGATGAGAGATAAGAGATTATAGGTCTGTAAATACGAAATAATGTAGTAAGGCTTATGTTGTACTGTTTATGCTTTTGATCTGTATCGAACATGACATCCCGAGTCTTTTAATGAAATACATTTCTTTGGAAATGCTTTTGATAAATCTTTATCATATTTTGTTTTGGGACAAATTCCGCAACACTTTTATTTAAAATGTTACTCTGATTTTCAAACAAGCATAAACAAAAATCGTTTTTTTCTGGCCGTGAAAATGGGGATGTCATAGTTGGTATCAGAGCATTAGTTTAAGCGAACTAGGAATTTGTAGGATTTCTAGACTTAAACTTAGAATGCTAAGCGATGATCGTGAGTTGTGAGCACTAGCTTATTTTAGGAATTATGCCTAAAATGCTTTTATGTGCTAAATGCTTTGTGCCTGATATGCTGTTATTTGTTCGGATCTATGGTCTGTTGCCGACCGGATCTGGAAACATTATGTGTTTAGGATTCTAAACGTACGACTACGATATTAGAACTAACATGTAAACATTTCGGAGTGATAAGGACGGTTTAAACGACTATCCTAAATAAAGATCTAAATTCACCTTATTCGGTGTATAGATCAAAATGGCAAGAACCCGCAGTGGAGCCGGGAATGCAAATGGGAACAGAAACCAACCCCCAGTGATTGAGCAAATACCGGTTGTGGTAGCCGCTGCTGAGCCAATAACGATGGTCGGAGTGCAAGCGATGATCCAGGCGATGTTGGATCGTCAAATGGAGGAAACCAGACGTTTGCCCCAACAAAATCGAGAGGAAGCTACCATACAGATCGAACAGCCCGAGTTGAACGAAGGGCAGACTGAGGAGGGGAACTACAGTGGAACCATTGGTCAAGTCAACCCACCGATAGTTCGACAAAACAACCAGGATGACGGAGTCGAGAGGAATGGATGCAAGTACAAGGATTTTCTGACTTGCAATCCATCGACCTTCACTGGAAAGGAAGATTTGATCGGGGTCATGGATTGGATCTCGGAAATGGAGTTAGCTTTCATGACGTGTGGTTGCAGAGGCAAACTACATACTACATTTGTTGTACGTCAGTTCCGAGGGGGCGCTGTGCGTTGGTGGAACACCCTGGGGAAGACCTTGAGCCCCAATGATCCCCTGCAACTGACATGGGCTGAGTTTTTGGTGCAATTCAAACGTAAGTAATGCTCAGCCCAAAACCTTCTCGAGCTAGAGAACCAGTTCCTAACCCTGAAGAAAGGAAGCATGTCCATTGATGAGTACACTAACAACTTCACGGAGAAAATGGAGTTTGCCTTGCGTCTTGTTCCGGATGAGTTGACAAAGATCGACAAGTACGCTAAGGGACTCCCATGGGAGTATGCGGTGTCGGAACGTCAGGCACATACCCTGGAGGCGGCTATCTGGGCTGCCAAGTCTGTGGAAGAGATGATCAAGGGAAGAGCTGCCAGCAAGGTTGAGGTTGGCGAGAAGATAAAATTTGAAGGGTCTGCTAAACCCAACAATAAGAAGAGCAAGTTCGGTTCAAAGAAGTTCGGGGGAGGAAATGAATCAAAATGGTGCGAGAAGTGCAAGAAGAAGCACTCGGGAAAATGTAGCGAGGAGGTGACCTGCTATAAGTGTGGGAAAATGGGGCACTATGCCAATGAGTGCACCATCAACAAAAGGGTGTGCTACGAGTGTCGTGAAGAAGGGCACATTGCTAAGGATTGCCCAAAGAAGAAAGATGCGGCAAGGCCCAACATTCCACCGAAACCAAAAGGCGAGAGCTTTCCAGATGACGCTCGAGGCTGCAAAGGAGGAAGCAGACGTCGCTTCGAGTACCTTTCTTGTAAATGGATTGCCTGCAATATACTATTTGATTCGGGAGCGAACTACTCCTTTGTGTCGCATAAATTTGGTGGGAAATTAGCATTGCCTGTAGAAAAACTTGATAACGCCCTAATTGTGGAAGTTGTCAGTGGCAAGTTCGTACCTGTTAGTAACCGTATTAGGAACATCGTCATCGACCTAAACGGAAACGAATTCCACGAAGAGCTATTGCCCATAGAGTTGAACGGTTTTGACATCGTTTTGGGAATGGATTGGCTTAGCGCCAACGATGCAAAGATTCTTTGCAGAAAGATGATAGTAAGGGTGAACCCACCCGGAAAAGAGTCGTTCATGGTGTACGGGGACAAACGCAGAGTAAATTCTGGAATCATCTCCCTGATGAAAGCCAGGAAATGTTTGTCCAAGGGATGTGCATCGTACTTGGCATTTATTATCGATGCTAAGAAGGAAAAGAAGGAGGTGCAGAGTAT